ACTGATTTGTACATCGGCTGACCACCTCAAGCCATCGGTTAGACCACACACTCATTCTATACGCCACTACGATTCTGAATGAGAGTCGAGTGCGGGGGCGTATCCCTCAGGTGGGATTGATTCAACGCCCCAAGATTTTCCTTTTGTCCTTTGTAGTCATTGGGTGGAAGAAGTCGGGTCGCTCCTGGTGTTTTGTCCTTTGTAGTCATTGGGTGGAAGAAGTCGGGTCGCTCCTGGTGGAAGGCCTTATGTCCCGAGGACTACTCCATCACTCTGTAGGGTGTGCAGGACAGACGTTGGGTGAGCTCAGGAATTTGGGTGCTTTTACTACCAATATCAATTCCATTCAGTTATGGCACGAGGGACACTGGTTGTAAATACAGGAGATGATTTGATGTTTAGCACCACTTTTCGACCCCTCAACGTCCCCTGTGTTATCTTGGGGACAACAACATCATCAGGGCGAGGTACCCGGAATTTTCATTATGAACTATGTCCTTGGACAGAAGAAGTTGAGCTAGTAACACAACTCGGGTCTTCTGAATCATGGCGTTCTAGGTTTCTTTCACATTTTCTTAACAGTGATGACTCTCATCCCCTCATCTTCTGATTGCGACTTTCCTTTCAAGACTCCTTGAGCATCGCAGGCGAACTCTATTCTCCAAGTAAGGGCTCGCGAACATTGGAGAAGCACCATATACATATATTTCGCTCGAAAGAGATCTTTATAGAAAAAACAACTAGGAACTTATAGCAGCCGCCTTAGGTGCCTTTATAATGATCACGACGCAAAGTACACAGCGGATCCATGGGTGGATATTGCTACCGAAAATATCTTCAAGTGTGATATCGTCGAAACTGAATGTGCTCTCGGAGAAAATATCAAAGAGGCCTATATTCACATGCAAATCTACGAGAATAACAGGTATTGTCGTTGTTAAGCAGTAAAGCTCTAGAGCAATATGTAAGTTAATAGTCTTCTCTCAGCTCCACGCAATCCAAGCCCTCTGTCAAGGATCGACCACATCTTTTTCTAATAATTCTCGATTCAGTGTCATCATTCATGGCTAAGCGGTATGTTTCTTTTTATAGTTATAGACTCCGATGACTACAGAGTTCTGTTTGCTTTCAAGCAGCCAGAAGAAATTTCCAAGCTAAGTACCATAGAATATAGTGGAATCCGCACTCAGTTCAGCACTCTCAAGATGACTTTGACTTGATTTCGCATCGGTATTTGGGCCAAAGACAGCACTGAAAGTATTGAATCACAAGGTTTGCGAATTGTGGTCAGAACACGGACCTCAGTTGGGACCCCGTGTTTGTGCTTCTGGCCACTCAGGAGTAGAAAACACGATGCCCGGAAAGCTAAGGCCAAGTGCTCGAGTTGCGTCCGAAGCCAAAGTTTTGCCCACAACTTGTCAATCTTGTGAGACTTTCGCATCGCGTACTGCGCCGAAATAACAGTCCCTTACAGAACATAAGACACAACAAATAGTACTTCAATTCAATAGGTGATAAAACTTTAGAGCCTCACTGGAAACTGTGATGTACTAGTCATGTATAATGACTAACAGCCTCATCGCGATGTTCGAGTGAATGTTCAGAAGATAAGAGATCCAAGCATGAAACTGAGGTCAAATGGGTACATATCTGCAGTGTCAGAGAGCTCTGGAAGCTCAGGAAATGCGCTGCCACAGCTAATGGAAATGCCGAAAACAGTGGAGCAAGGTCGAGACGATTGTACAGAGTTAGGAATAAGAAATAGGCGCAGCAGGACCAGGCCATCCATATGGCACCGCTACAGTTACGGAAGGGCATGTGAGAGTTGATCCAACACTAGATTCTGGCTCTTCGTAAGCAGACTCTTAAAAAAATGGCGACGTAGCGTCACCTGTAATACTTCTCTGCAGTTGAGGCCTAGGTGGGCGACGATTTGCAGAAAGGTAAGTCCATTGTGCTGGAAAGGGAAAAAAGCCCATTATGCTATTTTTCATTATTGTGACTGAGTATTGGTAGAGATTTCAGCTCGCTACCGCGCACGATAGATTACCTGAAGAGCGATTTCGAAGCTGTTTATATGGAATTTCTCAATAAGGTTGGAGATAACAGCAAACGTAATGGTTTCCCATTGTTCTTCGGTTAGTCTATTCACCGCTCTGGCGTAAGTATTGCTACTAATCGAGAAAAAAAAACCAAGGATTTTTCAGGCAAATCTATTGAAGGTGGTCAAAGGAAATTGGTTGGCCTGCCGCCGCTTATTCCTGACTGGGATGACACGAAGAAATGTTACGAATATTTGGATTCTCACCCCTATTACCTTGAAGAATATAGGAAAAGTGGTTACAAAGTATGTTCGGTCATAATTCTGATTTTTTTCTTCTCTGGAAGAGGTCTGAAGGAACCGCGTTGCAATGAAAGTAAAGAACGGCGGCTTGAGCGTGCAATCCCTTTCAAGTTGGAGGTTCTTCGGGATCAAATTTCAGACTGATGGCAGCAAGTAATTTTTATTCTTCAGGGGGCAACGGAATTTTTGCCTACAGAGCATGCGGAGATACCTGTTTGAAGCCAGCTCAAAAGCATAGTTCACGATAAAAGTGGTTTCTGAGAATGTCTGGTAGAATGAATTTGTGACCCCCAAGAATGGAACATGGAACGTTGTCGGGCTGAAGAGCGGTCTAGGCAGGGTGTAATAAGGGTTCAAAACTGGTTTAGTCGACGCGCACACTGTAAGTGGCTGTATTATTTTTACTGCGATATTTACTGGACAAGACGAATAGTACGCTTATAAGAGACACTCAGACGAAAGCAGACGGCGATCTCGCACAGCCCCATTTTTGCTGCTTTTTTAGCCTTATATTTTCCAAAACCTGCTGATTTTCGTGTTTCCTTCGCCGACCCTGCACTATTCGGCACCACCGCTTCCATCGTTTCACTTAAGGAGACTCCGTTCACGATCATTTAGGGGTATCCGGTATTACATAAATAGTGATAGGTAAGGCCTACATTAGGACAATGGTAAAGCATAAAACGCGAAAAACAGCGAAAAAAAAAAGAAATATAAACGGTCAAAAANTCATTCTATACGCCACTACGATTCTGAATGAGAGTCGAGTGCGGGGGCGTATCCCTCAGGTGGGATTGATTCAACGCCCCAAGATTTTCCTTTTGTCCTTTGTAGTCATTGGGTGGAAGAAGTCGGG